TCTGACAAAATGCCTTTTCTCTTATTCTTATTCTTTATGTTAATCACTACTGCATCTCCTATGTGCCAATGTAACCTAAGAATTAAAGAACCGAAATAAATGTTTTGATAGTAAACTGTTATGCGACCTTGTACACTGTATGAACACGTCTTGTCATGGGTTTTCTCAGTTTAGAACAGTATCTATATCATTCGAAAGACTCTATGATCTCAGTCAGATGCGTAATTATTCCAAGCAGTTACTTCCTAACCTTAGAGGCCCAGACACGTAGTCTCTTCTGCAGAATCAACAATTCAGATTGAAAACATCAATTGTTGTAGTTATCCTGATTACCATTCTTTTGATTATCATATTTTTTCAAGTATTTTGTGGGATTAGAGAGAGAGAGAGAGAGAGAGAGAGACAGACAGACAGACAGACAGACCCTCAGACAGACAGACAGACAGTTATTTTGACAATCTAATAAGCATATCACGATATTTACAGTTTCTCAGATAAATAATGTATATATCAACCACAACCTTTGTCCTTTAACAGAGAAATTAAAATATTGTGCATTTTATACACTGAATACACAAACAACTCAAAACACTTACATGGCAGGCCATTAGTAAATTATCTATATTTATATACAAATATCCTGCTGTTAGTTCTCATTATCAGATAACGTGTCATGTGTGTACGTGTGTGTGTGTGTGTGTGTGTGTGTGTGTGTGTGTGTGTGTGTGTGTGTGTGTGTGTGTGTGTGTGTGTGTGTGTGTGTGTGTGTGTGTGTACATATACAAATATATATATATATATATATATATATATATATATATATATATATATATATATATATATATATATATATATATATACATGTATATATATATATATATATATATATATATATATATATATATATATATATATATATATATATATATATATACATGTATATATATATATATATATATATATATATATATATATATATATATATATATATATATATATATATATACATATATGTATGTATATATGCATCATTTCAAGGAATTCGTTTAACGCTGTATATTTAGAAATGGAGAGGCGAGTTTTAGTAAGATTTTCATTAGTTCATGGGTTCTGACTTGTATATTTCTTCTTTGTGCTGAAGCTTTAATTTCTTAAGTTGGATGTCATATATCCATAAAGACAGAAAGGGCTGTATCTACGTAACCCGAGTATGACGTTAGTCTCTCATAATGTCATTGTTACCCTAGAAAAGATTTTTTTTTGACGTTGGACCTTTGATACTGAATAGTGTTTTATATTTTTAGTGCTTACAAAATCTCAATAAAAGTGGCATTTTTTTAGTGTCCCAATTCCTCTTCCTTCTGCATTATAAAAAAAATACGGTGTCTACTTCGGTGGTCATTCGAGTTTAGATGGTATATTCAAAGTATGGTTCATTATACTCTATCACGAAGAGGCATATCTTCACAGTACAATAGATGTAACTAACCGGTTTCGAATATATCTTCGTCAGAAAAAAAAACATCTTCACAAAACATGTATAGAACCGGTTTCAAAGATATCTTCGCCAGAAATAATGAAATGATCTATTCGAAACCGGTTAGTTACATCTCTTGTGTTGTGGAGATATTCATTCTCAATCATACCTTTTCTACATTTGTCAGCATGAATACGGTTTATACCCTATCATATTTGCGAGTGCTAACAGCTTAGCATACCAAGTCGCAAACATTTTACAGCGAGCTAATGATAATCACACTATCTTCAGGCTATCATAAGCTCTGGATACATGATATGACTATAACTGAACAAATCTAGTACATCTTTCACTTCATAGACTCGATATAACGTATTGTTATAATAATGAGAAATGTACAGAACAAATGATCTCACACACCTGGCAGAGCACCAAACCTGATATATTTGCTCATGACGGAAATGTATGACTGGACATCACCTGTGTTACCACATGTGCTTAACCGATACCGTAAAAGGACCCTTTGAGAAAGATAGGACTAAATTATATAGCTTTAACACCTGTAAGAAGTAAACACAGTGTAACCAGTGCTACTCCCCTTCTCTTGATTTCTCCATCTACATGGTTGATTCAATTTGCATATTTCTATCTGTTGTCATTGACTGACAATAGCAAAAAAGACAAGAAAACGCGCGCGAACAAACACGCACGCACGAGCGCACACACACACACACACACACACTCACACACACACACACACACACACACACACACACACACACACACACACACACACACACACACACACACACACACACACACACATACACACACACACACACACATAAACGTATATGTGTATTTTCTGTGTGCATTCGATTTTTAACAATAATTGTATGCTCTGTAATGATATATCTAATACGTATGATCTCTCACCAGTACAAAATATTGTAATTATCCAAGTATATACATTCGTGAGTGTATTTAAGGGCATGTGTACGCGAACAACATGAGATTCGTGTT